GAAAAAGAAAAAAAAGAAAAAGAAAAAGAAAAAGGGAGAATGTTATAGCATGTGGCTTTTATAATTTAGTTGTAAGAGAAAAGGTAGAAAGGAGTGTCCATCACTACGTATAATATGTATACATGGGCATGTTAGGTAATCATATACTAATTAATGTAATTATACACTAATTTTTATTTTTAATAAAAAATTTATTAAAATAATATAATTTTAAGATAATTTTTTATTTAAGATAAAGAAAGATAAGCACTATTTATATAAATATAAATATATATATATATATGTAAGTTTTTTTCTTATTCTAGTTATTTTCTTTCTTGCAAATTGAAGTGTCCCATTGTAGAAGAGGTTCCGTCGTCAGTTCCTCCTGCTTTTGTTACCCTGCCACTAGGGTTACAGAGTCGCCGCTGCTTTTCTCCTTCTAATCTCAACTCGATCGGAAGCTCACCTGCTCATCGGATTCCACCCGTTAACTCGTGGTAGGTACTTTCTCTCTCCAACATGGTTGTTTTCGTTTAAGTGGCTATTTCAACCTTGATCCGTTGGTTTGGTGCGAATCGGTATTGCAGCTTTTTTTTGGTGCATCGGAATTGATTTTGTTTATGATTCTTTTGGGGCCTAGATCTCTAGGAATTCTTTGCTCTGTTTGGTTGATGGAGGAACCCCTTTTTTTTTTTTTTTTTTTACTGGATTAAGTTTTAGGGGCAAATAAGAGATCTTGATTCGATTTATAACACTTTAGTTTTGAACTTCTAATCTGGATAAATTAGTAATGATTTCGATTTTTAATTTTTTCCTCTATAATAATATAACTAGGCCGATCACAGTCTTCTACTTGGCATCATAGGATTTAGATTCCTGGACATGTCAAATATTGATTTGATGTCAATTTGTTATATTCGACATCTATTTCTGTGCCCTTTTGTGATCGGTATTGATAAGTGACTTAATTCAGGTTGCTCAAGGGTCTATGGGTATTTTTTGAAATTTTTCTATGTCATCCCAGGATGGTGGATCGTTCTGGGTTGCAATTGTAACTTAA